CTCCAACCTACTAGTGATGGCCTCCAACCTACTAGCGATGGCCTCCAGGACTCCAGCATTTTTTATTTTTTCGGTCCACGTGCTCACTTCACTCCTTACTCGTCACGTCGCCTCGTCGCCCAGAAACGAGTGAGTCGAGTTGCCGTCGCCTCTCACAGGCCACATGCACGGTGAAGGGCTTGGTGCCCGGCGCGCAGTATCTCTACGTCGTTGCATGGCTCGGAACCAGATGGCCGAAGAGATGGGTGCAGAATGTTCTCTTTTAACATGTGTTGTTGCCTGTTGTTATATCAATATTACTATTTTTACTATTACATACTATTGCAGTAACATACTATTACTGTTATTGTCGTTAATATGTCATTTGTTTCTGAGGTCTTTGCACGCGATACTTCCGGACATTTCAACTATGTGAACTATGTCTCGGTGAACCATGGCCGGGAGGCCACGATGCAGCTGGGTGGAACGATACAGCTCGAGAGCTCGCATTGGCGGTGTCGAGTACGACAGCGAACGCCAAGGGGAAACACCAGTCACGAAAGGTAGCCTCAGGCTACCTGAGTTCTCCTTAGGCTACCTGGTTACTTGTGATTGCCTGCTACCTTCCATTCACCCCCTCCTCTCTCAAGTCTTTTCTTCGCTTCGTCCGTCCGATGACGCTTGGAGTAGTGCTTTAGACAGTGGAGATGAGCTGGTGGTGGCTGGTGGTGAGCCGAGTTTTGGGGTTTTCTCGCACCGCGGGGTGCAGCATGGTGCAACTCCAGAACATAGAAAGACCGATCCAGGAATCCAGCGGAGGCATCCTCCAATGGATGTGCAAGGTCTCCCCAGGCAACGACCTCCTGGGTGCGTCTACCCAGCCGACCGGGAAAGAAAGGGGTCCCAAGAAAGGGGTCCATGCGTGGAGTCGGCATCTCGACTGTCTACGGAGTCGGAGTTCTTGAAGAAAGGTAGCAGAAATGAACTATACCAAGTCACTCTGTCTACTCTGTCTACAGAGTCGGACGCTGGGCACTTGGCAGAAGATGTGTAGAAAATGAATCTCATGCCAAGTGCCCAGCTACGACTCGCGTGGGTACAACGCACACTTAGAAGGATGCTTTGGACCTTCAACGCGACTGGACCGGACTGGACCAAGAGGTTTGGGCCAGCTTGGCCAGGGACTGAAACGTTGGTTTGCGGCTCGGACGGAGCTAGTGAACATGTAAAAACATCCAACAGGAGTTGGTTCAAACACGCTTTGTCCAAGCAGGGACTGGCCTGGCCTCACCATGCCTCACCGGCCTGCAGGGCAGGTTTGAGAGTCCATCACTCGACGAAGGGGTTCCATGGCTGAAAAGCATGGCACTCTTTGCCCTTCTGTTCGCCTTCGAAACTTCCAAGGTGTTTGGAACATGGTCTAACGTCCATTTTTCATCATTTTTCCAATCCTTCAGGCTTGGTTTGATCTCCGTGTGAAGGTGAGTCGGTCGCCCCAGTCCTTCAGGAGTCGCGACCTCGACCAGTCTTTCGGTGCTGGAACCCGACCAACGACCCGGGACCATCGTGGACTGAGCCAGAGGCGATGGTGGGGAGATCCCGAACATACACACCCTGTCAAAAAGTGCTGGTGAGGTCAGTCGCCTTTTGCGTCCGAGGATGCAGGATGCTTTCCCACACCCGCGCTTCAACGGAGTGACGTTGGCCAACCCCCGTGGAGATGCTTTGATCAATCATGTGCAAACTCTTTGGGAAGGAAGCGTGAGGCGAGGAAGTTCTGATTTGGCCGCAATCAGTGTTCCTTTTCCTGGCGACGGCGGCGGCGGCATTAGTAGTGCTACTACGTCCTAACAATGGGGATAATAACAATAATAACAAGTGGTGGTAGTCGTCGTCCTCCTCCTCCTCCTCCTCGTCGTCGTCGTCGTGGTGGTGGTGGTGGTGGTCGTCGTCGTCGTCGTCGTCGTCGTCGTCGTACCATTACGTGCGAATCAACTACATGTTAATCTACTAAGCTGATATATATACATTGAGTGGATAGGGACCTGGGGAATCAGGGAAACTACAAACATCACCACCTCCTCAAAAGGCTTTGTTCTCTCTACCCCCCTCAAAAACAACGACGGCAGCCCCGTTGTTTTTGGTCCCCACCCCCACAACAACACCTCAGAATTACCAAGAACGGACCAACCCGGACTTCGGTAAAACAAGTCCAACTAGTCCAGCTCTTTACGAAGCCAGTCAAACCCTCAAACCTTCAACCATCTCCGAACCGTGCCCCCTTGAAGTCACAGAGCAACAACATGTGGCGCGGCTGCTTTTGTTTCCACCAACAACAACGACCATTGATAAGCCTTGAAGATCCTTGGCCAATCTCGCCACCCTCTGAGCTTTTGCCCATGCGTTTTCGCTGGGCCGCGCCCACGGGAGATCGACGTCCGTCCCACGTCCAACCGCCCGAGGAGATTGTCTTCGAGTTCACCCAGGTGAATGTGCACGTGCACTTCTCAAGCTTGGCCATCGCACCGGTGAAACGTCCCTACTCCGCCCTGCAGCTGGACTCGGCCGTGAAGAGTATGGCACAGGCTTTACCAGCGGTAGAGGTGGCTCGGTGTCAGAGGTAGAAGACTCGAATAGGCGGGCAATTTGTTTGGGTTTGAGGCGGAATTTGATTCGATGTTCTCGGATGTTTGGCCACAAAGGGTTCCTGAGGCCGGATTCACCTTCATACACCTCTACCAGCAGTTCCTTGGCTGAAGGGAGTCCTTCTGCATGCGAGTCCTTCCGCAGCAAATGGTCGACAGTCATTCGATGGTGAAGAACCAGTGGTGATTGGGATCTTTGCGCGTTTTTTTCGGGGCCTTGTCACGTGTGATGTCTACTCATTGCAGGGAGGGAAGAAAACGAGGAAAGGTTTGCCTAATGTAGATCCCTTGATGAATCAAACCCTCGACATTTTTGCTATTCCAGGGAGTTTGCAACACAGATTGCATCCTTTGCAGCTTGCACACCTGGTCTTCTTCGACAACATCCAAACATGCACTGCTTTCTTCGCCCACCAAAACCGGGCCAACCCACTCCCCAGTCCCTCGATCCGGGCTGTGTCGTGGCCGCTCCGTGTTGTTTGGATTCGTTGAGGGTTCGAGACGCGAGCGACGCGAGGTGTGATACCATCCTCTTGCTGGGCGGCATGGGTGTGGAACACTGTGGCCGCCCGGAATACCGCGCCCCAGACTCCCATGAGTGGAGGCCGGGACAGCACTGTCTGGCAGGAGGTGAACAAGGGTGGGAGCGTGGGCATGAAACATCATGCAAAACATGGGATTCTGGCCATTCTCCGTTCTCCTTCTCACTTTCTGACACAAAAAAAGGCCCTGTGTGGGTGTGGAGTTCTAAGACGAGGCCACCTGAAAGTCTTTGAAGGGTTTGGCCTCACTACCTCCACCCCACCAGCTGATCTTGAGACCTTCGAGCATCGTCGAATGACCTGGGCTGAGTGTTTCTTTCCTTCCGCCGCCCAGGCACAAGCGGCCTCTACCGGGCGCCTTAGGCCATGGCTCCGTTGCTTGGAGAAAAGGCGAGTTCGAAGCAGCGCAGAGAAGCAAGATTCGCCCTCTGGACTGGACATGTAAAGCCATTCTGATAGGGCAGCTAGTTAAGGGGATTTGTGCATCAACAGCGTAGTTTACTCCTTGTCATTGTGCCTCTTCAACTGAAGGATTCATAACAGTCAAAATCACTCACTGGTAACAGGCTGCTCGGCACTGAGTGCTCGCCGCTGGCCGTCACTGGTCGCTCCACTGGCCCCTGGTCGCCACATTTCGTTCGATCGTCGACCACTCCGAGGTTCTCATGGCCTCCTGCTGGACTGAGCGCTATCGACTCACCTCGCGCGGCGCGAGCCTTTCAGGTGCTACCGCGGTGGTGGCCAGCGAGCGGTTGCAGTGCATCAGTGGCAGGTGGTACAACAGCCTCTCCAAGGACAGCAGATCGGTTTCAAGGTCCTTTGGGTTTGGAGAAAGCGCATGTTTATCATGAAGTGTCTGGGATTTTGTGCCTCCAATCTGCGGATGAACTCGCCAAGTGTTCGTACATCCCTAAGTATAGTTCCATCTCCTCCTGCAGGTGGCCCGCTAGACGCGCAGATGTTAGCCGGTTGCCTTCCAGCAAAAATTATCCTGGCAAGAGACCCCAAACAGTGTGTGTGAGGTCTGTAAGCAGAAAGTCTAGAGATCTAGACGCATTGCGGTCCAGAGAGGTGATGGTGGTGATGAAGTGAAGGTGGGTGTGAGTGAGTGTGGGTGAGAGGGAGTGTGAGTGTGAGTGAGAGTGGGAGAGTGAGTGTGAGTGCGAGTGTGAGTGAGAGTGAGCGTGGGTGAGAGTGAGAGTGAGAGTGAGTGTGAGTGTAAGTGAGCGTGAGTGAGAGTGAAGGTGGGTGTTAGTGAGTGTGGGTGAGAGTGAGAGTGTGTGTGCGACTGAGAGTGGGAGAGTGAGTGTGAGTGAGCGCGAGTCTGAGTGAGAGTGAGTGTGAGTGTGAGTGAGAGTGAGTGTGAGTGGACTGAAGGTGAGTGTGAGTGCAAGTGTGGGTGAGTGCGAGAGTGAGTGTGGGAGAGTGAGTGAGTGTGAGAGTGAGAGTGAGAGTGAGAGTGAGAGTGAGAGTGAGTGAATGAGAGTGAGTGTGAGTGTGAGTGAGTGAGTGTGAGTGAGAGTGAAGGTGGGTGCGAGTGAGTCTGGGTGAGAGTGAGTGAGTGAGTGAGTGAGTGAGTGCGAGTGTGAGTGAGAGTGAGAGTGAGTGTGAGAGTGAGTGTGGGTGAGTGAGTGTGCGTGTGAGTGTGAGTGAGTGTGAGTGAGAGCGAGTGAGAGTCTGCAAGTGGGAAAGAGTGCGAGTGTGAGTGTGAGAGAAAGTGGGAGGGTGAGAGTGGGAGAGTGAGAGAGTGAGCATCTGACAGCACAAAGTACGGCGCCTGCCACGAAATCTGGACTTCGAGGTTCACCAAGCGCTGTGCCTGCCACGAAATCTGCACTTCGAGGTTCACCATGCGCTGTGCCTGCCACGAAATCTGCACTTCGAGGTTCACAAAGTGCTGTGCCTGCCACGAAATCTGCACTTCGAGGTTCACCAAGTGCTATGCCTGGCACGAAATCTGCACTTCGAGGCTCACCAAGTGCTGCACCTGCCTTGAAATCTGCACTTCGAGGTTCACCAAGTGCTGTGGCTGCCACGAAATCTGCACTTCCAGGTCCACCAAGTGCTGCGCCTGCCACGAAATCTGCACTTCGAGGTTCACCAAGTGCTGCGCCTGCCACGAAATCTGCACGTCAAGGTTCACCAAGTGCTGCGCCTGCCACCAAGTGCTGCGCCTGCCACGAAATCTGCACTTCGAGGTTCACAAAGTGCTGTAGCTGTCACGAAATCTGACACATCGAGGGTCACAGAGTGCTGTGCCTGCCACGAAATCTGCAAACGAGCCACATGTCCAAAAGTCACGATTCACTGTACCTGTCACGAAATCTGAGCTCCTCGACGATGACCATGTCCGAAGTGCTGCACCTGCCACGAAAACTCCATGTCGAAATAAAACAGCTCCGATCCCTTGCACCTGTCACGAAAAGTCGACTTTGGAGCACCAAAGCACGAGGTTTCCCTTGCACCTGCCACGAAAAGTGACCACCACGTACCAAAATGCACACGGCACCACAACGAGAACGCAGTCGCTAAAAGCACCCGCCGCCGGCAGGCAGATTTGACGAGCGTGCGCAGTCGAAGTGCACATTGACGATGTCGAGAGGCATGAATGCATTGTAAATAGCAGCGAAAGAACCCCTCAGTGTGCCCACACTGTTTGTGGAAAAACTCACATGGTCCAAGACAGACTGGGCGAGTAAGGTCTCTCTCTCTCTCTATATATATATATACATAGAGGTATAGATATAGATATTTAGAGTATTTGCACCCCAGGTTCAGACGGTTTGATCCAAGACAAGCTCCACCAGGAGAACTTGCAAGACTTCTCCTGCGACTCCTGCGTGCAAGTCGCCGCGCATGGATTTGCCGCGTATCATTTACGCCGGGAACAGGAGCGGGTTTTGAGTCAAGGAATGTACCCACTGGACCTGCGGCGCAACTGTGGCAGTCAGGTTCTAGATATATTGGCCTCCCAAACGAAGGTTCTCCACGTCCAACAAAACGTGTGTGCTCATTTGTGTTGTTGCATCTCTTGTAAGGACATGCAAATCCATTTTTTGGGACCTCGATCTATTTGGTTCCACAGGCTCCCCAAAATCCCACCAACAACATACCACACATCAAACCAACGAAGGCAACGAGCTCCAGTGGCGACCGGATGACTTCGTGCGTCGAGAGGTCCGGTCCGACCGGGATCGATGCACGCGTCCGAGATGGCTGGATGGGGCGTCCCTTCACTGGGGAATCCCCAGGAGCTCTACTACTTCAATCGCATGGCCTTGAGCGTCTACACGGAGCTGGGCATGATCAAGGAGCTCAGTGCTCAAGCGAAGCCGCTCGGACCATGGGCTTTTGGATGCATGGACACGGTGAGGATGGAGCAATGACTTGAATACACCGAATGGACCTCATAATATGGAGTCATATGTAAGACATACATCTAATGCCAACACTGGGCTCCATACACGCCCCCCCCCCCCCCTTCAAGGTCAACAAGGTTAACAGTGTTTGACATTGGAGGTATTGGAGACCCCATCCCCTGAATAAAGGTGATGACCTGATGATGGAGGATGGTTGATAGGATTCTGTGTGAACACTGAGGCCTGTGTGAAGGGTACCCTTTGTGAGCTTGAAAACGCTAAGATCTTGATAGAGTTTTGCTAGAGAGGTTTTTAGGGATTGTGGAGCAAAGCGTGCTTGGGAGAACATTTGCAGCTTAGATTGCAGCTTCAAACAATATGATATACTAGTGAACTAGTCTTTTTAAAGCTGGGCTTGATTAATTAATACGGGGAGGTTTCTGCCAAGGAAAACGAATTAGGGTGATGGACATGTGGAATTCAGGTTGAAATTAGTTTAGTATTGGGGGGCTCGAGCTGGGCTTGATTAATAGGGGGTGGTGACAGAATCCTGTGTGCGCATTATGGACTTGTCTCAGAAGGACAAAAACCGTTTCACCAAGAAAGACACATGCCCACCAGCGAGCTCTTCCCAATCTTGGATCTTATGTCCCCTGTCCCTTGTGATGGGCCGAGCCGAGCTTTCGCCACTCTGAGGCACAGACACTGCTTGGAGCCTTTAGGACAAGGACCCAATATGACAGTGACTGCAAGCCTGGCTTGTCCAGCTAACATCTTGGCGCAGGTGAGAGACGGAGATGGGAGGGGTTGATGGAGCTGGGAAGTTGGTGATGCCTTTTTGTTCTGAGTTTTAAGTGGGTGGCTTATCTACCAGCATCCACCAAAACTCTTCTAGGAGGGTCGTTGGGCCCTCAAATAGGCCTCCATTGGTGACCTCTTGGAGGGGTGACTTATCTAGATTCGTTCAGGCATTTGCTTTGCAGTTGTCTCACGCTGTCTCTGGGGCGTACTTCGTGAGCTTTTGAGAGCTTGCTTGTTTTGGTTTTGCATGTTTGGACTCCAGACTTTCAAATCATGTGCGCGCCACGGTTCTGACATTGAAGCATTGTAAAGTCTTTGGGAATTTCCTCATCCAACAACTCATCCAACAGCATTTCTGATCCTGGACAACCTCGACCCTCCTTAATCCCTGCTCAAAAGCCGAGTACATCACCTAACTCTCTAGCTTTCAAGGATCCAGACCCGCATGAAGCTACACATCTTTGCTTTTTTGCTCCTGGCTTCTCTTTCTTCTCTCGGGGTGATCTATCATTTCAACTCACCTTCATTCCCACTACCCGCCACCCATTTGTCAAACGGTGAGGGTCCCTGATGTTCGCGAAACTTGTCGTCCGACCCCTGCGGAAGGTGAGCTCCCTCTCCTCCCCGCTGAACCGGCACCTGCGACTCTTGCCCGAAGACCTCAGCGGCCTGAGCACTCCCGGACAGTGCTTGACCGCCCGGCATGCCGTGGGCGTGGCGCGCCCGGGGCTGGCGCACGCGGAGTGCAGTGGGAGCCACTTGGTTTTGAAGAGGGGGGTGGAGTTCTTCTTTGTTTTGTTTCGAGCTACAGTATGCTTGTAATCGTATGCTACAGCTCATCTACCTACAGTCATATGCGTCAGTATGTGAAAGAGACTGCTGGCGTCTCATCTTCTGATCAGTTTTTTCCCCCTTCTTGAGGTGATGAGAAGCAGCTTCTGGCACCTGGAGAGTTGCCCTCGGACATGTGGAACCTGCACGTGGAGGCGGAGGAAAGGACTCAAGACCTGCATAAGGCGTGGGTTACCCTGCGCGCAGACCCGCGCGCGATGCAGGAGATGTTGGGAGGCTGCGGTACGTAATTCTGTAGGTTATCATCCCTGATTGGATTTCAGCTGGCATTTACCATCATAAACATGGATTTTTGGTCATTCCTTTCGTATCGTTTCACGTTCCGATGAATGGAGCGTCACCCAAAAGGAGATGAAAGTTTCAGAAGATGAGACTTTGGGACCTTCCTGCGAGCACGGTTGCCATAAGCTCTGTTAAGAGCTTCTGGAGATCTGGGATCTTACAGCGTAGTCGTCTCCTCCTCGCGTGTGGGCCGGGTGGATTGGTCCGCGAGACCGGCCCGGCCGGACCGGCCCGGCCTGTTCCCGATCTTGGGGCGGTTTGCAGCTGAAGTAGTTCGCGCTGACTGCTAATCCATGAAGCACATCAGCGCCGGATTGGCTTGACACTCCCAACATGAGGCGCAACTTCCAGAAAGCGTCTACCGTATCCTTGTGCCCAGCGTGGTCGCCGCGTGGCGCGTGTCGCACGCGCGTGACCGTCTCCGCGTGACGCGCGTGCGGGCGCGAGGCTTACTCGTCCTACTGCGGGACTAGCGGAGCGCTGAGTAACCTGGACTTTGGGCAGGTGAGATCTGAAGAGGGGCTGGGGGGAGGGTTCGGCTGCTTTTCAGGCGGAGGGTTTGGGCAGTTATGAGCCATGAGGATTCGAAAGTCTTAGGGGTTAGGATTGGGAAAGTGAAGTCATAGAATCGTTAGGACCGTTAGGAGTCTCTTTCTTTTGGTTGCGAGGCAATTGACTTGTACCATGACTGTTTCAGCAGTGTGGGTATGCCGACTGCATCTGGGTCATTGTGTGAAACATTTGCGAAACAATTGACTCAAGGATGGCGACAACGACCGATGTGCGTGGTGCCAGATCTTGGTGTGCCAGGGGTATCCGACAAACCCAGAGCAAGAACTGGTGCACCGAAGGTCTCCAGCAAACCAGGGCCGTCTCCAGTGGGGAGTCTCCAGAAATGAAAAATGAAAGGTCGAGACCAGAAAGAGCACCTAAGCCTTTAGAGAACTCTTGGTCAAGATTTGAAGTTTAGTAAATCTCTCTCTGTCTGTCTTTCTTTATGCCTTTCTTTCTTTCTTTCTTTCTGTGAAACAAACTGCCTTGTGCCCTGGCCATCCACACCTGTTGACTTTCCATGACCGTACCGGCCCAAACTTAGTGGCCACTTGAGTCTGCCTTGGAAAAGGCTTTCCTTGCCGTGCGCCATAGGCACTGCGTTTCCGCTGTTCATCAGTGGTAGCGGAGCCCGGGTGACGACCTGGGCTCTGCTGGAGAGGTGGAAGAGCTTGCGGCGGGGGACGCCCCGACCGACCTCTTTCGACTTCATCGACCTCATTCTTGAGGAGTTCTTCGGCGCCCTCCAGCAGGGGATTGTTAGAAGCCACTGAAGTGGCGGAGCTTGACGGCCATCCTGGCCTGGTTTTCCTTTGAGCTTGATTTGAGCTTTTGTTTTGCTTTTGGTCTACGACCACCTTCACTACGCTAGCCCTACGACTTGCTAGCCGGCGCCGGGACTTCGTTCGAACTATTTGATTGAAGGCCCAGGCGATATCTTTGCCATCAGCCTGACCTTTGTGAAGTACCAGTTCACTGGGAAGTATGTCAGCTGACAGGCTGCACCGCTTCTGGAGAGGCGGAGTTGGAGCAACTTCATCATCGACCCCATCGATGGCGGCCCCGCCGAAATCCCCGATGGCAAGTCCGCCGCGACCACCGAGGTCCCCTATGGCGAGTCCGCCACGACCTGAAGTCCATCGACTTTCTCAGGTACCTGACCCCGTCGATTCGGGACTTTATGAAGAACCTGATCCTTGGGCTGCAGCTGCCACGGCCATCCGGCCTCCGACACCGGCCGGAAGCCAATCAGGTGCTCGCGAGAAAAAGTATGTGGACTACAAAGTGGACCCCGCTCCATCCTGGGGCGGTGACATGCCAGAGAAGAACTATAAAGAGTACATCCGGAACCTTCAACTCTGGCTGGTTGAGGCAGAGGCTCGACTGCCACACAACTAGATTGGAAAGCGGATCATCGACAGCATTCCGCTTGGCTCGAAGCTCAGCTCCCTTCTGGCCCATTTGACTGTCGATGACATCTGCTCGGACAATGGCCATAAGGTCATACTTGGCATCATTGAGGACGCCCATGAGTATTTGAAGGACTTGCGCCTCGAGACAGCCTTCGATGACGCGATCTTCAAAGGAAGACGTGAGCGAGGCCAAACGCTCACAAGCTTCTTGACCACCAAGAAGGCGGCCTTCGCCGACCTGAAGAAGCAAGGACTGGACTTGTTGGCTACCAGTCCGGGGCGGCATTTGTTGGGTCACCTCATTTTGAGGCAAGGCTCATTCACCCAGGATCAACGCCAGAGGTTGAAAGTGGTCACCAACGGCAGCATAGATTACAAGGACATCGAAATGGCCATCCAGAAGGTCTTTGGTGACAAACTGGACGAAAGCCATGGACACCATGAAGCTGTTGGTACCCCCCGGAGGTGGCGCAGTGCTACCTACTGGGATGAAGAAATGAATGAAGAGATGTTTGATGATGAGCCAACTGCCACCTATGGCGAGATTGAGGATGACGACCCTTTCGAGGACCTCATCGCGCTTAATGATGATGGCAGTGAGGCTCAGTTCATCTTCCTCCATGAGATGCCAGTGATCATGGATGAGACGGAAGCCATTGAGATGGTCAGTGACAACCTGGAAGAGATCTTCTACGAGACCCACCAGCGACTGCATAGCAAGGGCAAAGGAAAAGGAAAGAAGGGGAAAGGAAAAGGCAAAGGTGGCAGTTCAAGAACCTATGGCCTTGGAGCTCCTGGTTTTGGACGAGGCGGTGGTTATTTGGAGCACCGTCGAATGCTACAGGCTGCCCGGACGGGCAGAGGCTTTGACCGACCTTGGCAGATGCGCCAAGGCACTTCGAAGATGTCCCTCAATGACATCAAGGCCAAATCTCGCTGCCATCAATGCAAGCAGATCGGACACTGGTCTCGAGAGTGTCCGCAAAGGAACAAGCAAGCATCGACGGCCCCTTCATCCCGCAGTTCACATGTGAGTGGAGGCTCAACCATGTCCACTGGGTTTTTCACGTCACCACCAGCGGTGATGGCCAACTGTGGACATAAATTTCTGACGACCAACCTGGACCCGATCTCGTGCGAATACATGTTCAGCGGCCTGTCGTTCGTTTTTCTTGGTTCGGCGCCGGATCGGGGCATGGCACTCGTCGACACCGCGGCTCAGCACGGGTTGGTTGGTCATGACACCCTCCAAAGACACGATCGTCATTTGCGGGAACATTTTGGTCTCCAGGTACAATGGTCCAATGAGCATGGTGGTTCAGTTCGAGGAGTATGCGGACAGGAGGAATCAACACGGATAGCCTACATCCCCATCGGCTTGTCCGGAAAGAGTGGAGTACTACGTGTACAAGTGGTCCCAGGTGAAATACCATTCCTCCTGCCAGCATACTTCCTGACAGATCTCAAAGCTGTGATTGATATGCACCACCTGACCATCATCTACATGTCATTGGCAGTTCAGCAACGCATGTACCGCATGTCAACTGGTCATGTTGCTGTTTGCATTACTGAGTTTGGTCACGGCTTTCAAGTTCCATCCGACTTCGCTGGCACGAAGAGTCAAGCCTGGTCTCTGGAGCCCTTACCAGACCAGGCACGACCCTCAACCTCGACCACCTCGCATGGCGGCATGGCTGGCTCACTGGCGGCGCTTGCTGCTGCGCTTGCTGGAGTATGTGGACTTGCTGGCGCGCCAATGCCTGATGGAGGTGGTTCGAACGCCCCAACTACGTGGAGTCCGTCGCCTTCAACGACAGCGCGAGGACTTGGAGAAGAAGGCTTTGGCCTTGGCTCAGGCCGAACAGAAGATGTTGGCAGAAGCTGCATCTGCCAGCACTGTCCAGCCTGGAACAACCCTGACCTTGTCCAGGCGGGAGGATCGTGTCCGACCCCTATCGTGCATCATGGGGAAAGGCAAATATTTGGTGCCATGCTTGGAAGACAGCACTCACTGCCGGCATTTGAAGACTCAGCATGGCGCCAACAAGAACATGAGCTACCAGAAGTGTCTCAACTGCGGCCAAGAGCAGCAGATGCCCTTGACACCGGTCAACCAGATGGAGACCTGGAACAACACCCTCGTGTATGCCAGCCACGACTTCTACCAGAAGAAGAAGGTCAAGGAGGAGAAGGCCGAGTCCGTCAAGGCAGAGTCCACTCGATCTTCAACTCAGGGCTACCGGAAGCCCGCAGCCAAGTCAAGCGCAAAGGCAACGGCTGCCAAGACAATGCCACAGAAGAAGAGCCCCATTCCGGAGTTTTCTTCCGATCCGGAGGAACTGGAGGAGGATCTGGAGATGGACGACGAGTGGGAGGAGATCAACCCCATTGGACCTCAGGACATTGCGATGTCTTCGATGGAGAACGATGTCCTGGCTCAGCATTGCGGATTCTGCAACAATGGGAGCCTCCTACTTCATCGACACCAGACGACTGGGCAACTACTGTGGAGATGCATGAACCCCACCTGCCGACGGGCTTGGAATCATCTTCGAGGACACACCAAACCGGCAGTGGGAACATTTCTTTGCCCACAGTGCAACTCAGGCGAGATGATGACTGCACCAGCGATGGATGGCGATGCTCAGCACACGGAGCTGATCTGCCTGAACACCAATTGCAGTCTGGCCATCTACCTCTACCAGCTCCCCGACTACTACCTCCGGATGGGCCAGTTCGAGATCGAGAACATCAACAAGTGAGTTGCTGGTGGCTCCAATCACCACCGGACAAGATCAAGATTGACGAGACCTACGGCGGCCTCCTAGACACTTTGAACCTCAACCCAAGCACGACCTTCGTAGCCATTGGATATGGTGATGTTGTCAAAGGGAAGTCTCCAGTCGTCACCAACACCTTTGTTAGCCGGAGGGTCATCTTGACCCATGATGGCGATGATGGGCTTTGGTGCGCTGTTGACGTGACCACGACACCCGGTCATGACTATGTGCTTGGTGCCCCCATGGACTATGTGGTCTTCTATGAGTTCGATCCTGAGTTCATCGATTACCTGGTGGAATCAGAGTATGAGAACGAGGTCACCCTTTCCAGATCCGACAAGATGAGCATCAATGGCAGCTTGGACATGCTGCTCGGTGACCTGACCACCTACTGGGCACTTTGGGAAGAGGAAGATGCACAAGATGATGTTGCCGAGGTCTTTGGCAGCATCTGGGAAACTCGAGACACCGTTGTGGAGGTCTACAGCCCACCACGTGTGGTTCGACGTGCAGCAGCTCGAGGTCTTCGAGCGGAATTGTCAGTGGATCTCACCACTGGCGTGGACTTGTCAGATCGACAACAGAAAGCACAAGTCCGACAAGATCTACAGCAGAGAAAGCCTCGACTCTTGATCACTTCACCGCCGTGCACCAAGTTCTCTCCATTACAGAATTTGAGGTGGTACCCTGAACTACTTCAGCAAGAACTTGGACCCGCCATCGACCACATGGACTACTCCATGGACCTTCAAGAGGACCA